CGTTTACTGACAGTCGCGAAAACAACATAAAGAACTTTTCTAGGCAGCTCGCGACAGAAACAAAATGTCGGGAAAGTTTGACCCGACGCATGCGCAAATCAAATTTTCGACTAAAAAACGACTGAAAACTGGTGGTAGGGGGTATATGTTTCATCGCCTACAGCTTACATTTTTCATCTAACCGAAAAAAACAAACATTTCTTGCACAATTGCATGTCAACCAGCAACTATCAAGCACAATGTATACCTGCCGCTATGCACCATTTCGGAGCCTATTTGTTTACAAATATGCTGACCTCTTTTGGTGTCACATCTCATACACACATTTTACATGCGAACCATTAAATTAGTTCCATGTGACCTAAGGTCACAAAGGAACTAATAAAAATATAACAAATAACATGAGACACGACCCATTGTCTATATTATTAGAACACTTCTCATTGGGTAACAAAGTCGTAATTTTTCATTTTTGTCAAAAGTGTCTATAATGGTGAATTATGGTTTAGGTTTTTTTTAAATAAAGTTTCAAAAATTTCTATGTGGAAAATGTAGTTGATTACCAAAGGTTACAATTTTTATTTTGAAGACTGCATGGTCTAGGAAGTGTACATTTTTTTATGGGGCAACTTTCCAAGGGCTGGTTTTCTGGGGGCGAGTTGACTGCCAAAGAGTGTTGCCAAAGTGCGAGCCAGCGTGTTATTTGATCACAAGTGCGAGACATCGCAAGTGTGAGCCAGCGAGCCATGATGTCACAACAATAGATACGAGACGTTAACGAGTTGTGCGAGGTATCGGCTGAGATTTGTGGAGTACAATTCAAAAAACAACTATAGGTCTAATAATGAATTATTGTGATGTTAAATAGACAATGTTAGCTATCAAGGAGCGATGTTGTTTTTCATTGGGACCTTCGTCCCTTCAAGGCTAGGCCTATACCATCCTAGCTAGTCTAGGCCTAGAGTAGGATAAGGCTAGCGCGACATGCGGACATTGGTAGGTGTTGGTTAGTCTACAAACGTTGCCTAAATAATTGATTTTACCCGGCATAATCGAAAGAAGGAAACTCAGCTTTTCAGTCGTCTTAAGCCCTTGTTCTTTGACAAACTATGACCTTTCAGAGGTCAAATTGTTGTCAAGAATATGAATTGGCTGCTTCGCAGCAATCAGATGTTGTATTACTATATCAAAAAGAAATGTTAAATGTAATTACTTGCCTTTAATTGTGATTAAATGATCTCCCCTTTCATTTCACTTTCATTCATTTATCAAACATGCAACATGACAATCACCATCGCTATGCATAATCATCACCATTTTATGCACAACCATCAACATCATATGTTGGAATGATCAACATTTCATAGTAATCATAATCATCATACATGTAATGTGACGATGAAGATGGTGAACTCTGGCAACAACTTTATTTTCAGGTTAGAGAATGGTTAAATGATATTTGTGCGGTCTTTTCAAAAAGGCTTAACCGAAATCTTCATAAATAAAAAGAGTTTAAATGTGAAGAGAAAAGAATGATTAAAAATAGTTAATTATTAATTGCTCCATACGATAATGAAAATGTGGTCAGAGCTTCATGAAAGGGTCATAACAACATCATCATCAATGCAACACATCCTCACCTGCCATCCCTTATCTGCTGTTCTATAATACGGGTAAGTTTTGGTAATATATGCGTAGATACCGCTGAGCGTCAGCTGTTTGTCTTGCATTGACGTGATGGCCTGGACAATCAATTGTGCATATGAGTACGGAGGTTTTGTGTCCTCTCGCGGACTTCCCATGTCTGCACCAGATACAGGACTCTCAGATTTGTCCTCAGTGGCCGCCGCAGCTGCAAGCGCTACTGCTCGCAGGTCGGGCGTGAGGCTTTGTTTATGGTTCATGCCTGAACGTGGACTTGTGGGACAAGAGTTCACAGCACTGTGGAGAGAACAAACATAATTTAGTATACTATCAATTCAATCATTTGTTTTTGCAAACGCACCGAAAATGGATTGTCAATAGTGATGGACCAAAGGACCAAGCTGTCGACGCTCAGCAGTGCCACAAGGCTGACTGTGTTAGGACGGCCTGCTTACCTACATTAACTTTGCTTATATACAGAAAAAAAACTGATTTTTAGAAACTTATATTTACATGGTGAAGCAAAAAATCCCAAGAAATACCTTATCGTTCCTGTGGGTGATGGCAGAGGACTTCCAAACTGGACATCCGGAGGTGGTATGTCAATTTTCAGAGGTGGTATTCGTTTCTTGGTTGGACTCTTATTTTTTGGTAGTGGTAGTGTTGCTGAATTCTCATCAACGTATGCTTTAAACATTACTTTAATATTTGTACTAGGAAAACGCAACAGACATCTAAAACAAAAAGGAAAATTAGTGATATACATTTTTAATGAAATAAATTTCTTATTTAACAAAAAATTTTTCCTAAGATTACAATATAAATAAATGGCCTGGTTTCTTTTTTTTCCTTGAGTAAGTACAGTTCTAGGTCATACTGTACATAGAGCAAAGTGGTTGAAAAAATAAAGGTCTTTTGTATGGCTTTATTCAAAGGTTTCCTTTTCAATCAAATGTGTTGTAACTCTATCAATAGAAGTGAACTCAATTCAAAGGGTTTTATCAATCACACACCAACACACTCGGTACCTAGTGTAGTCATTTAGCGGACTTCCGTTTCATAATATTTAAAGGATTGTTCAATAATATCAATATTTTCTAAAAAGTAAAGCGAGAAAGAGCTTATATTTGATGTCAATGGCTTAAAATAAAATACAACTTTATATTTGACCTGTTAGTGAAAATTTGACCTGCTGTGAAAATAGTATTTTTATTTATTTTTAGTATGTCTGATGCTGTCCAGAAATATCCGAATAAGTAAGCTTTATTTCTTCCAAATGCAATCAAAATATTAGTAAGCATTTATCAATCCAATTACAGTACTATAAACTGTTTCACACTGTACATTAACATCTTATTTATGAAAACACAATATGATCTCAAGCTACATGTAATTTTTCACCTCACCTGCAATATTATATTTTTGTCTGCCTAGATACTTTTGACAAAAACTAAATGCTAAGTGTCTTACACTGACGATTAAGAGAACAATTTTGCTGTACAAGGCATAACTTTCTTTCTTTATTCCACACTATTTTACTGTTACTTAGTTAACACATCTTTTACCTTTAATTGAAGTGTACACTTTCTCTTTGAATGCATTTTCTTTCCTACTCTAAATGTAATCTCTCCTTCCTTACCCACCCTACCCCACCTTCCTTTTACTGCACCATTCTCCTCAGTGGCCATCTTTAGCCTGTGACCGCACTATGTACTTGCTCCAACAGTAGTATGCGAGTAGTATAGTATACAAATTTTAATAAAATTCATATTTTCATTGTGATCACTTTAAATACACAGTACATGTACTGAGTCTGTGAATCTAGTACCTACCTTATGCACATTATTAGGTTTCAATTTATGTTAACTTGCTTATAAACCCTAGTCAGATCCCTTCAACTTTCAATATCATTCTTACTGAACAGTACAATATTACAAAGCTATAAGTTGGAATTTCCTGCCATTTCCCATCCACACATCAGTACAGCTCAGTCGATAACATTCATCAACACATTCTGCTTTCACTACGTACAAGCTCACTTGGATACAGTAGCTCCACTGAGAATACATATGATGACATCACAAATTTGATTCCAAATAAGGAGTTTCAAAGTGGTACAAGGGCACACAACCACTCAATACATTACACAATGATGAATTACGCTAAAACACAGTGAAGAAAATAGTGCTGCAAATCTATGGACACTTACCAGTAATGGAGATTTCACTTCCTATATTAATACTCTCAGAATAAACAGAGTAAACAGGGTAGCTTCATTTTGCTTTATTGTCAATATATCTGCATATTAAATCAGTAATGATCTTAACTCTCCTTTGAAAGTGTATATTTTAGTTAAATGCTCACTTCATATTCCAATAATGACAATATATATTTTTTTAAACCATGACATCTAAAAAATACTAATAGGAAAAAGAAAACTTATATTCACGATAAGTTTTTAAATTTTTTTTTCCTGAATAAACGTTTTCACTTTTAAATTATTTTAAAATGTTAGTACTTTGTGGTTTCATTATCAGAGGCTTTTTAATTACAGTACAACCTAGTACAATACTGTAGAACCTTGATTATACATACGGTATGGGACCGGAAGGCATACGTAAATTGTAGATTCGTAAAATTAATGTTGGGTTAAATTTGTGACCTTTGACCTAATACATACGCAACACTCAATAAACATGTTGTGAACGAACGATGTTCATAGGCCTACAACTGGGCATGTCCTATAGGCCCAGGCCTATGAAAATAACCATGTGTTTAGCGTTTTTACTCATTTACGATATCAAAATAAAACCATGTGTCTAGTGTATTAATTCACCACTTATATCTTTTATTTAACTAAAGAACATAAAAATATTGCAAGATTACCTATACGACAAAGGTATAACTTGGGAATTCCCCTTCATGGCTATTCTAAACAGAGCTGCGATGTTTTCTGGGCCTGCTGAGACAAACTAAAACCATGTGCACTGAAGAGGGCGAGACAACCAATTAGTGTTCGCATGTGAAATTATGCCTACCCAGCTTAGTAAACTTTGTGTAGAATAATTAGCCAGTGTCAGTAGCATATCTAGCAGTCTTAAAATTTTTTAGGGTGGGGGGGGGAGAAGGTGATAAAAGGGAATTGGGAGGGCTTGATGATTAGGTAGGGGGTGCTTAGCTCGCAAAGTAAGGTGATTTTGAGGTGATTTTTAACTACAGTACTTAAGGGCGATTTTTTGGTTGGGGGGAGGACTATTGGACATGGTTAAACTCTCTAAATTTGTATTGTTATTTATTCAAAGTATGTACAATGTGTCAACAATGAAAAGTTGAGAAAGTTATGAATTCAAGCTTAATCCACAAACGTTAACAAAATGATATTATTATAATATATTTTGTCTAATTTTGTAATATATGTAAATTTAAAAACTCTCCCAAACAGCTACACTCACTGTCAACAACATTATACTGAAGTATGTTATTGATATTACTAGGTTAACGAGTGAAGTTATATAGTAGTTAGCATACAATTGCTATTTTGTACATTATTGTAGTATTTTTTAAACCCTAAATATACAGAGCTGTAATAAATCTCTTGCGAGTGGTTCTGGGCATGCTACTGTACCCCAGTCAGCACAGTACTTCCACTCCTCTTTGGAACTGGTTCTAGGTTGTACACCTTGCAATATTCTGAGATTGTTTTTTAATTCTAACCATTCAATTTTAGAAACCTAAATGCGATACAACCTGATTTTTTAAAAAGTTTTTATGACGATCAATGAAGTGTCTTTATCTTTAACCAGAAATTCTGTTATGTGCAAAAGCTGTATTTCATATATAAAATAGGAACCATTCTAACAAATGAGACAAATTTAAAGACAGTAATTGTGAGGAAGTGTGCCTGAATTAGAATGAAGGACATACCATATGATATTCAACACACATCTTACAAATAAATACTGTTTACATACTATCAATGTAACCTTTGACATTTGGCAGTGTTCATGCATGATTTGCCCAGGGTACTAAATTTGTAAGATCTGTTTCTATTTGTAAAACATTATTAAAAACGGAAGTTGCATAATTACATTTACTTTTAGCCTGTTTTTTTTTTTGCAGATTGTCATCAGAATTTAGCATATTCGGCTGTTAGGTCCCGACTAAATTAATTAAACCTGGGTCTCTACTTTCGGAGGGTCACATCTTGACATGGACGAACTTGGTTTAGGATGTATGCGGCAGAGTTGAAGCCAATATTGGAGGGTTGGATTTTAAACAAATTTTGATTCTGGGCAGCTTTAATTTGATTATTGCTTAAATCTTAGATCTGTACAAGTCCATAAAACCCGGGGTTTTACACTTCCTGTTCTCAAGTCATGTAACTTAATCCTTGAACGGAGTTCATCTGACCAATCAGAAATCCCTTATCATCATACTGACCAATCAGCCTCCTCACTGCAATATATTGTCATCAGCTATAGAACATAATTAAATTTCCTACTCCAGGGAATACCACGGAACATAAACATACATTTGAAACTTTCTGCCAAGTGAAAGCTAAATAGGAACCATCTAAATTTTAACTACATTAGCTGGTAAACCTTCATTTATTTTAGACACTGCAATTGGGAATCAATTTGTATTTCTATAAATTTACAGTGCTTCTTATATAAAATTGAATTTTCATCTACTGACTGCTACTAGGTATCACAACGGACATACACTGCATAACCACAAAACTGATAACAGTGTACAGATTTCACAAATTGTACAGATTTTGTTTCATAAATTTTCTCATTTCTAATTTGAAATCGATATTAAAAAATATGTATGGAAACATTATTGTAAATATTTTCATGTGTCTATCATTTCATAACCCAAAATAATAATATGAAAAAAACGAATTTAAAGTGAACCATTATCGCCGTGTTGTGCGGCCGTCGGCAGAAAATTCGAACGCGACTAAAATGATGCAAGCTTTTTCAGTGAGCTGTCGCGATTTCACCCTTTTCACAACCAATGTGTTTTTAACATAATAAAGTAGTCCGTAAATTAAGCTTTAATTTAATATAAAAATCGCAATTTATTAATAAAAATTACAATCAAAACGTTTGCAACAATTTTATTCGAACAAATATTCATCTGAAACGATCGATCTTTATATCATTTGAATGAGAATTTTATAGTGATTCCAAAGGTAGCAATATCATTATAGTCACGAGCGTAGTGATTTCGTGAGCGATGCAAAAGTGAACAGTCCCCAGACAAACATGTGAGTGGAACGACCTCGACATCAACGTGTGACGTTTTGACAGATGGAACATCATGGTGCCGATCGGAGGGCCACTGCAGAAGAAAGCGAACGTGATGTTGGAAAACAAACTGTTATTGAAAATGAATTAGGTAAGATTATGCCAAATTATGTTATTTACCAACGATCAGCGTTTATTTTATAATCGTTTACATTATTTGATTTTATTAGGGGTTAAGTGAAGTTCGACGAACCGTCTAGTTAAAACTTCAGGCCTACGCAACCGCGGTTTGCACTGTACATAATGCTATGGCACCGTTTTATAATCGGTTTAAATGTTTCTTTTACGTAGGTATTGATATAAATTTAAAACTTAGTTAGCTGTTATAAATATAATGTTATTATTTAGTGTTTGTATCGAAGAATGTAAAAATTGAATATGGAAATACACCGTAAAAATTGAATAAACTTTGTTGACATATG